TTTGATAAGATATCGCTATATGTTTCTAGATTAACATAAGTTAAATCATTTGGTATTAAGGAACTGGTTACATTGCTATTACTATCCATTCCAACATGATCACTCAATCGTTTAATAGATGGTATTAAAGATAATACCACACTAAGCATTAGGCCTCCATAAAAATAATTCATACTCTCAGGCATTGATTCTACTCTAGCAATAATAGCTGAACTGATGTCCATTACCGATAGTTCAGCCTTTTTTATATCACGTCGTGTCCATATAGTACACGAAACTAAAATATAACGAATTTTTAATTACCTATTTTAAATTAAATCATCAATTACAATCTAAATTATATTTTAAATAATCCTTAAATATTAAGTTCTACCCATATTTTTATAATATAATGTACATTACCACGATCATATGAAGCACAGTTAGAACTAAGCATTATGGAGGGTGGTAATTCAAATTCCCATGAAAAAGGATGTTCAACAAATTCTCCATAATTTTTATTATTTTCACTATGTAGATCAGATTCTTCAAGTTCTGAACTGTAAAAAATTCCAGTTTTAAGGAACTAATTTAATATAAAGATATAATGAACATATTTATATATACACGAAAATTTATAAGTTAAAACTCATTACCTCATCTTTATTCATTTTTTTTTTTTTTACTAAATAATAACTAAAATAAAACTTAATAACTTAATATTTTGTAAAGCTTCTAAGCTCTAAATTTTTGAACAGCAGTATATATAATCACAACTAATATACTTTGTGCTAATAAGACAAATGGTACTATGTGCTACTTTTATTTATCAGAATATGAGTGAGAAGACTATTTTCATTGCATATAATTTTAATTTATCTAAAATTAATTAAAAAAAATTTTTAATGATAAAAGATTGACTTCATAACAGTATTTAAGCATTCACCTGTAGCTACATTCATCACTATTTGTTGTTACACCCATCCATTCTGTAGCAGATGTTGTAGCCTCTGTTAAATGATTTGTTACAGTTTCTTCACATTCTCCTTCTTCTTCACTTTCACATTGCTGTCGTCCTTCTCTTGATCCTATTCCCATTAGACAATGATCTTTATCCTTTAAATAACAGTTAAAAATTTTAATATGTTTGCATTTTACTAAAAATTAATTACATTTATGAAACATACTACTATTTAGTGAGTAATGACATAATTTTTAGTAAAGTTACTTTAGGTCCTAAATATATGAAAGAAATAATAATAATAATAAAATATATTATAGGCAAATTTTTAAAATTAATAATGAATGAATATTCGAAAATATTTTACAATGCATTTACAATAATTTGTAGTATAATTATTCTCTAAATATCACATTTTCTTTACCAAATACTTGTCCCCTGATACCACAAAAATAACTCACAAATTTTACAGGCATAATTAAAAATTTTTTGCATATTATACAGAAACTATAAAGGCTCAAATATTAATTATTTGGAAAAATAAAAAAATTATTTACCCATGAGGATATTATTTAAATATTTGTACATTAATAAGATCTATTTCAAAATTATACATTTATCATATAATTATTTAAATAAATATATAATATATAACAAAATATATGTATTAGAATATAATATAATTTCATATTTGTCATGTTAAATATGAATTACAATTAACATCATAATATCATTGTATGAATTTTGTTTTTAATATGATATTATGTAAATAATTAAATCTATATTATCAGATGATATAATAATTAATTAATAATAAAAAGTAAATTGTAGAAGTTACAAACAAAACAAGTGTACTTACCACTTTACTAGATGTTTCTGGTTCACTATTTGAAGAATTATCTTGTGGCTTTAACAATTCAGGTGCTGCGTGGAAAGTGGAAGACAATAATTTTAGCTAATGAGCCATTTTACCTTTCCAACAAAGATTAAAGCGTGTTAGCAGTTCAAAACGAGTAATAAATTATTAATGACTAGTAAAGAAAATATAATTTTAAATAAAAAGTATATGTATTTAAATAAATCGTTATAAAAAATCGGATAAATAAGTATACTTTTAAGTAATAAAAACATTATTCTAAGCAGAAAATATTGCATTTTACATGATATATTATATATTAATGTGCTATGTAAAATATAATAAAATGTGTCAAATCAAACCTGAAAATTTTGGTTGCAAGACTTGTTGATTAGTAGAATCTTCTAACCAAAGAATTTGTTCCTCATTATTCTTAGGTAATCCATCCCTCTTTTGTTTAAGTTTCTCCATTGTTGCTCGTACTGCACTTTTATCATTATCACTGGATACATTTCCATTCAAACTTTCAAATCCATCATCATCTTGATGTACATTTTTTATATTTTGATCTGGAACTTCATCTATAACAGAGAGAAATATACTTTGCATTTAAACAAAAACATGTAACTAATAATAAGACAGAAAGTTTTAGTACAGTATATAATATATTAACTTGATTGAATATGCCTAACTGATGCCTCATTTATAGGTAAAGGATGATTCACAGTCACATTTATTGATTCATTATCATGAGATGCTTGAGTAGACACAAATTCCTATAAAAATAAACTATTATGTATAACAATTTTTTAAAGTCAATTTTATATACTTTATATAATGGATAATATTCACCTGTGACCTACTAACAGTCAAAGAATTTTCAATTATGACTTTTTTAGCAAATCGTACAGAAGTTAATACCTCATCACTTACAGTACTAGCTTTTTCAGATGCTGTATCCTGAGATGATTTTGAATCTTCATGTAAACCTACAAAATGTATAGTAAATACAAATTAAAACACAAATCAACGTAATTATACAAAATGGTAAAAAACTTACATAAGTTTTGTCTTGTCCTTGCTTTACCCATTCGACATCTAGTATGTCGTAAACGTTTAACCATTTTTTGTTTATTTTGTCCATCACTCACTGTTGTTCCAGAATGAGTTGATACAATATCAGAATGAACAATGCATAATGTCAGCATCATAATAACAGGTATTAATATTTCTGATGTTGACATAATCTGAAAATATATATTTTATCATATCATTATATAGATAAATACACACAACCTATATACATATATAGGTTTGTAATACTAGAAAATATTTCATACATCACTTTCATTGTCCTTCACCATTTGACAAAAATATATACATATATTTATCAATTGCAAACTATATAATAATAAAAATAAAGTAAAAATTGCTAAACTAGTTTGTTGTATCCACCACTCCCTATATAAGGGAAGAAGTAATAAACGCTGAAGTGCCAAGTAAGCTACTGTTGATAATCCATGCTTTGGCTTGGCTTTTGGGAACGAAGAACCTGTATTATAATATTAGATTAAATCATTGTAAAATAGAATATTAAATACTTATAATAATAAATATTATAAAATTAAATAATTTAATACAAATAAACTTTAATTATAATTTTTTAATTTTTTATTACCTCGTACAAGATCTACATCAATAAGTTCTGTTTTTAGTTTTGCAGTTCTCATGGGAACATATGTAAACCCTCCAAGAATATGTTGTTCCATAGTTTTTTCCCATTGTTGTTTATCATAAGTACCAATTTTTTTCTGATACCTTAAATATTAAAATTACGTACTGTCTTACATTTGTAATCAATTATATAATTTTAACTAAACTATGGTAATAAAATACAAATATTTTACCAATAAACAAGTTCATTCAGTTTCATTTTTGTCGATCGCTATGGTAGTTGTACAGAATGACTGTTAATTTTTAATCTTAACCAATAATCGACAATATTTGAACGAACGGAAGATAGTTTTCCGTATACTTTTATTAGTAAGTTTAAAGAAAATATTGCTCCCATAATATATAATAAACGTTATTTACAAGTAATGTTTTTAATCAAAATATTCGAACAGATGAGAAACATAAAATATGGAAATTCACAATACATTCAACAATTTTACCCCATTGCCTAAAAACAAAATGTTCAAAAGGTTCCTAGCAATAATTTTAACAAACGAATAGGAAAATTATTTTCAGTTGATTTTAATTTATAAACGTTTACCAATAAACTCTTATATGAAAAAATAATTATGTATTTAATACTTTTCGTACTAAGTTTATTCACTATTCCAAACTGTCATACAATTTATGCTATATTTCTTTTTCAACAACATTACGAAATACAATGGAACTATCAATCTTATAACAATATGCAAGGAACAATAACTCTCATTGGTTACCGAATTTAAGAATTTTTATTTTCTTTGGAACAATTTTAAAGATCATTTTTTGAAATAATTTATCTAAACTTGGTATTCTTTTATATCCTTAAAATTTGGACAAAAAAATTAAACACTAATTATTTCAAAAATATAATAACAATTTAATGACAGAAAATTCAAATATTTTAAAAAGTGCTTAATTTAATTCATTTTATAATATGATTAAAATTAAATTTAAAATTATTATTATTTTATAACATTATTATCATGTATGTAAAATACGTAAATATTTTTCATATTAAACAATTACTTTTAAGTAATAGCATTTTTTTTAATATGATCGATATATGGAAATAAAGAGTTAACAAGGAATGAAAAGATAATAAAAATTATCTTAACAATATTAAAAGTATCAAAAATAAAATATTGTATGTATTAAATGTAAAATACTTTACAATTCCCTTATTTTGTTTGTATACATTTATGTACTTTTACTGTTATGTAAATTCGCATTTGTGATATACGTATAAGTATTCCTTAATAATCAAGATATGATTCCGTACTATAGGGCATATTCCAGAGAAAGTCAAAATACAATGATCAGAAATAAATTACATATTAGTTCGAGGCAGATGCCACTTTACAAAATTTTTGACAGCATTGTTAACTAATGTTACGATTAAAGAAAAATCATTTTACTTTACACATGCATTTATATTACGATTAATCCAATTTCAATTAATCAAAAAATATAAAAATTTACGAAATGATGTCTAAAATATTTTTTTTTCGTATATGGTTATGTTTTGGCCTTTTATCTTGGGTAAATGGAATACGTGAGTACGAGAAGAAAGATTTGATCGCTTTAAGAGAGGAAGTACGTTCTATGTTTGATCATGCTTATTCAAGTTATTTAACGTATGCTTATCCGTACGATGAATTGCGATCATTAAGTTGTGATGGATTTGATACATGGGGTAGTTTTTCATTAACACTTATCGATGCTTTGGATACCCTCGCTATAATGGGTAATTTCTCTGAATTTCGACGTGTGGCAGAAATTATAAGTGCTAGAGCAAATTTTGAAGCCAATATTAATGTATCTGTATTTGAAACAAATATAAGGGTAGTTGGAGGATTACTTAGTGCCCACCTCCTGTCACGTAAAGCAGGCATTAATTTGGAACCTGGATGGCCTTGTAATGGTCCATTATTGCATCTTGCAGAAGATATGGCAAAACGTTTAATAGGAATGCCATATGGTACTGTTAATTTAAAATATGGAGTACCTGAAGGTGAAACAAGTATTACATGTACTGCTGGGATAGGTACATTTTTATTAGAATTTGGAACTTTGTCTAGATTAACTGGAGACCCATTGTATGAAGAAGTAGCTATGAATGCTATTAAAGCATTACATTATTATAAGTCAAATATTGGATTAGTCGGTAACCATGTAGATGTATTAACGGGTCATTGGACAGCTCAGGATTCTGGAATTGGTGCAGGTGTTGATTCTTATTTTGAGTATTTAGCAAAAGGTACTTTGTTATTTCAAGATCCAGTATTAGCAACAATTTTTCATGAGCATAAAGCTGCTATTGAAAAATATATTCGTCGAGAAGATTGGCACTTATGGGTTTCTATGACAAAAGGTCAAGTAACCTTGCCGGTATTTCAGTCTTTAGATGCTTATTGGCCTGGAGTACTGAGTTTGTTTGGTGAAATTGGAGATGCTATGAAATCATTACACAATTATCATCATGTTTGGAAACAATTTGGATTCACTCCAGAATTTTACAATATACCACAAGCTGAAGCAGGTACTAACAGAGAAGGATATCCATTACGACCTGAACTTATAGAATCAGTTATGTATTTGTATAGAGCAACTGGAGATCCTTATTTGATTCAAGTAGGAGTGGATATATTAAGAAGTTTACAACATAGTGCGAAAACCACATGTGGGTATGCAACTATCAATGATGTTAGGGACCACCGAAAGGCTGATAGAATGGAGTCCTTCTTTTTGGCAGAGACAACTAAATATCTTTATCTTCTTTTTGATCCTGATAATTTTATTCACAATTCTGGTCAAAAAGGAGAAATTATTGAAACACAATGGGGTCAATGTATTGTAGATGCAGGAGGATATATTTTTAATACAGAAGCACATCCTATAGATCCTGGAGCATTATACTGTTGTCATAGAAGTCAGAATTTATTCTCAGATGGAAAAGCAATATTATGGAAACTTCTTCCTATAAATAATAAAAAAGAAACTACAGATCATAGTACATTGCATACAAAAGATATTAAAGATAAAAACGATGATAAACAATCAATTAAAATTATAAAATTATCTGAAATGAGGCATTCTTTTGTAAATGATATAGAAAATAATATTAATAGGAACTCAATTAATCCTTTATCACCTATAAATAATAAAGCAGGTGAAACTATGACAGTAGAAGAAGAGAATGAAATGAACATAAACAATCCAGAACTTGAATCTTTAAAAATACAAGTTGCAGCACCTCCCGCAGGAATTTATAAAGTTGATGACAGTGAAAATATTGATACTTATGAAACCTATACTACTTCTGATGGGCATTATTCTACTCCTACTATAGAAAATAATACAGAATCGTTTATTAAACAAAGTAATAGAAAAGCAAGGTTTGAACCCCAAATACTACTTGAAAGCATTAGGAAAAAAAATTTGTATCCAACAAATAATTCTGCAAAATTAAATTATCAGCTTTTATCTTGTCAATCACAATCATTCCTACAACGTATATCGATTATAGGAGAATTTTTTTAATATTATTTTATACAAATTCAATGTTATCTTAACATGTGTATTTGTGTATATATATATAAGTATTAAGAATAAGTATATATATGTATTAATATGTTTTTCTGATTTAAAGAGTAATTTTATTTTACTTCAATAGTAGTTGTACTTGATATTAATTTATTATAACTGGTAATAATATAATAAATATGTTTATATTGCTCCAAATATATATTTATGTATATATATTTACTCTTTTTGCTAACTTTAATTTTAGATATTAATGTGTTTAAATTATTTCTGTTATTTATAGTTGTAAATAAAATTATAAACTAGTGACTAATTATTTAGAATGGTTTCATTAGTTTCAATGATTTTTAAATATGTATAAAAATCAATATTTTGAATAATTTTTATGTATATATAACAGGCATTCGACTTTAAGTTTAGAGATATTTATGGAAATATATTATTATTATATACCACATTTCTAAGATTTGATATATATATGTATATAGGTTTGGACTAATTTTGGGTTATTTTCAATTTCAGTTAGAATAAGTGTAAATAATAATAAAGTTACACAATATCATTGAAACAGTTTTTGTTAATTTAATAAGCAATATGTGAATATGTGATAGAGATTAATTAAGGGAATGACTTTCGTCATGTATGGATAGTTCAAGATTACTGGAATTGAGTTATTTAAACTGTATAATTACCTACGATATGAAGTATTAAAAATATTTTATAGCCGAATGTTATTGCATAACATAAATAAATATTAAACTTTTAACTAAATATAAATATTAAAACTCAACAATAAAATAATTTTATTTGAAAATTAAGTTTGTTTAGTAACATGAATTTATAAATAATTAAATATTTTTTTCTCGCTCCTAAATTTATTTGAAATATTTTTATGTTTATTTATTTCGAATTCCTTTTTTTCACATATGCATATAACTTAATGAAATCTAGTATTATAGAGATATAAAGTTGGCTAGTCGTCGACAAAGGGAACAGCAAAGGGACAATTATCGATGTATTGATTCTTCACTGGTTTTAATGATTTTTAAATATGTTACAAATGATAATATTTTGTGCAACTTTTTCGTATACACATGTCTTAGAAATTATATTTATTATTCCGAGATATTAATAAAATGCGATAATTATCTATATTAGAAAAAAGAAATGCATTCTTTCCAGAAGATATAAAATAATAGTTAACTATGTCAATGTTACCGATCTTACTCTTATTTTGTCTTACTATTCTGTCTTACTCTATTTTTATGTTTTTTCTGTATTCTTTATCGTTTTAGCAAATAATGGCAATGCGCGTAAATAGAAATCTTATTAGATATTATGTTACAGTCAATCAGATAGGCTTACCACCTTTTCATTCTTACACGATACTTAATAATTTTAGTTAATTTATATCTTAGTCATGATATTTATTAAGTATACATGTAATATTTTGTATATAGTATATAGTGTAGTATCTTTTTTTTGTAGCTTTAGTAATTATTAAATTCCTTACTAGGTTAAATAAAAAATAGAGTATTACATAAACATATTACCCGCGCAATCAAATAAATATACGTATAGCAAATCCCTATTTTCTAGGACAAGTAATGGAATCCCCTATTTCTCCTATTGATCCCCTTTTGGTCCCCTCTTGAACCATTCTTGGTTTACTCTTGGCCCCCTCTTGGTCTACTACTTCCGTCGCTACTATAAATACGGGACTGAAGACCCGACTGCGTTATTAGTATTTTATGAAACCAAAGTACTGTTCTTTAAAGAGCTTCATTAATAATTATTAATCATCCAGATAACAAGGTAAGTAAATTGATTGAAAGTTTACTTTAACTCGATGTGGCAAGTGAAGAGGGAGAGTTGGAAAAAATAATGCGCTTTTGCTACTCTTTTATAACAAACAAAATTTGAAAAAAATTACAGTATGCACGAACCTACAGAATACGATACTGTATAGCAAATTTTTGTCAGGTAAAAAGGATATTTATGTAAAAATTAAAGGATAGTAGAAAGTACGCTCGGCGACTCATTTTTAAACTTTGATGAATAATTATAATTATTCAGAAGTACAAATAATTATAATTATGGATATTGTGAAATCCAGTAAACTCCCATCTAACATTTAAAATGAGAATGAAACTTCTAATGTTTTTGCTTTTCGTGTAACACTTCACTTTAGCTAAAACTCATGCGTTTCTAGAAAACTCACATTTTTTGAAAAGTGAGAGTGGTAGAGCAATTTCGATTACAGATTCGTATTCAGGGAAGTAAACTCTACGAAAATCACCTAGTGGATATTACAGATTAGAGCAAAAGTTAAAATTTATTGGACAGTATATACGATCAAATTGTGCTTCTATCGTAAGCAAATTTGTATGTTTAGCTAGTGATCATTAGAAGATTAAAACTATACACGCACACCCAAACAGTTTTATGTCAGCTAGACAACTTTAGAAAAATTCCTTAAAAATACCTTAAATAATAATAAATGTGTTTTGTTTGTTTTCACCGGATTTTCCTAGCAAAGGGTGGTAAAGTTGATTGTATAGTATTAATTTACATTTACATAAGGAATTAATTTATTTTCAATTTTACCGTGATTGCGAAAATATCTCACGAATAGCACTAACATCGATTGCTTTTCTTTTTATAGATGGATAAAAAAGCTACTGACAACAGAACGAAGCAATGCAATCCAACACATGCTCCGACTGGGCCCGGCCATACAGCTGGCTATCATGGATCGGGGACTAAACCGGACCTTGACAACCACGGGAACCAATTAAATCCCAATAATCCGAAATGCGCAAAGAATAACTTGTCTGGTTGTACAATTACACTTTAAAAGAAAATGTACCTGATTGATATAATAAATATGCATTAATAAAATATGTTTTGCTCGATTTATTGATATTTTACATTTTTCGTTTAAAGCAGTGAATTGACTATATTTCTTTTTTTGTTCTTTCTTATTATGTGAATTTTCAATTAAATATATATTTATCATATTTTACATAAATTAAAGTAAGAATATGAACGGATAGCGTATAATAATTGTATAGTGATATTTAATGTGTTACTTTCATTGCGGTTGGTTGTTTAATCCAAAATCCCCATGTAGCGAATTGCTCTCCATTTTGTTCTTTGTTCGAACCTCGAAATACTTTTATTTTAACGCGAGGTATTTCGTCTGAAAGTAAAAAATGTCGTTATGTACCAAAAGTTAGATTATGATAAAATTTCAGTTAATCATATTTTACATTTACTAGTAGATAGATTGAAATTATTTAAGAATGTCATTGCTCCATTATGGTATACGTGTAATGTCTAAATACAAGTGCCAGTATTGAGAAATAATATAAACGGCAGGTAGCGGTATGAAATAGGAAATACAAACAAAAAATTAATTAATTAATATTAATCCTAAATGTATCACGTAAATGACCATAAAGTTTGAGTACATTTTGTATCATCTCGTTGTTATGTCTTGAATTTATTCTTCGTTTACCTAATTCTCTTTCTACCGGCTATTCCTGCCCTTGTTCCTATGCAATGTACGTAGCACGTAACTATTACCACGATTTTTGAGACACCTCCGACTGCGTGATAAAGAATATTCTGAAGAAAAATTCATCAGTTTCTACTTAATTACAAACTGTAATGTACAAAATATGGAAAACTATTTATATAAATGACATCGTGTATTTTTGATTTCGTAGAATTGTTGCCGACGAAAAAAACGAATTCAATGATCTACTATAATCTAATCTACTATATATCTAATCTACTATAATTTTTAGATGAATTTGATTTCAGAAATATAGATTCGATATTTGTGAGGATTTGAAAACTTCTCTCTGTTTAACGGTCTGACGTTAAAATACAAATTATATTGCTGTTTTTTTCATAACGGCGATGTAAATGATATAAAATATATATTTTTAAAAAGATAATAACATTTTTAATCTTACCGACTTCCATAGCATCCCCTTTTATGAATCTCCCTCTCGTATCATTGGTTGTATTTACACAAATTATTACAGTAAAGAAACAAAATAAGCTGGCAATGCTCTGGAAGGAAGAGAACACTTTTATTTCTATCAAAGAAAAGAGGAAAAGAGAAACTTCAACGTTATTAATCTTAACAATATGAGACTTACCAATAATTTCATTGCGATAGGTGCAAATACAATGGTGCTTCCAAGTAAAACGAACTCTTTATGTAGTGATAAAGAGTATTTGGAGCATAACCGAATCAGATCTTCATGGTTTTCAGATACTTTCTGATATAGAGAAAGTTATCTTTTTTTACAGATGAGAGTGAAAACGTAAGCATAATGTCAATGTATATACTTATATACAGAAATGTATTAATTCTACAATATTTTTAGGACATATTGTGGAATATTTTATTTAAAACGTTATATTTGTATAAATTCAGATATTGCATTTAAGTGAACGTTCGTATAAAAATTTGAACCTTTATAATTTTCAATAAAGTTCTAATAAAAATATTACAAGATCAAAATCTTAGAATTAAGGATTGGATAAAAGGAAATGGCCAACGTGTGAAATTTTGATAATGTATTTTGTGATTCACAAAATACATCCACCGTTATTTAAAAATTCTATACTATATTGGAGAAAATTCATATTTGTTTAAAATAATTTTTTATTTTTTATAACTTATTTATTTTCGCAGATAGTAACTGAAGTACAGATAGATAGCAGCTGAAAACGTCTACCATTGTGGAATTTTAAATGATAAATAATGTTTGCAGATGAAACTAAACTATTACCCAACTTCTTCCTAAATAATGCCTATATTTTATTCAGAAGTAACCCGAATGAAAGAATATTGAATTTACCCATTAGATCTATAAGATGGTATATGTATCTCCTCGATAAATTTGCCACAAAATTCTTGCGCTTTCATGAAAAATGTCTGTAATTCTGTTATAATTAATAAAAAGAAATGTTAAGTAACAAATAATCTAGTTATCCTTGAACGAGTGTAAATAATTATTCTGTACTAAAACTTAAACAAATGGATAAATAATCATATTTGTCATGTCTATTTATTATATGAATTCTATTGTTCCTTATTCGATGTTTCAGAAATATTTTGCACTATTCGATAAAAAAGGAAGGAATAAAAATCTGGATTATTTCATACCAAATATATTGTTTGATTGTTTGCCTTTGATATCTCAAATTTTAATTTTATGTATCTTTATTACATTTCCTTTACAAAGAAAAATTGAAAATTGTAATGAACGAAATGTCTGTTCAGATGTAGTTTCATACCAAAATGTTATCACTTGTTTTATCATCTTAACAGTACTTTTCATTAATTTTTATCAATTATCAATTGTTATGAATTTTTCCAACCTTCCAATTATCTAATATTCTTTTAATATGATCTAGGATTACAAATTTTCCAATCTAAAAGATAGTTGTACACAGAAGAGTTAAAAATAAAAATAATTTTGATTAATAAAATTTTTTTGTCAAAAAGAAAAAGCGCTTTTATTTTAATTTAAAAACGAGCATTTCATACATTACAATCCAATATCTTTTCATATAGTATTAAATTGTTTCTTAGATCGAGACGAACTTAAAGAATTTCAATATGTATTTAAAGCAATAGGTATACCATTGTATTACAGGGGTTCGAGTTTCACGAGATAAAGAACCTACAACGCCAAAAAACGATATAATTCCTGCAATACATATACACACATAAGTATACACGTCGATTATTTAGCGATTGCAAGATGTTTATTCAGACAATATAAATAAACTAGTGTCATTCTTAATTTTCTCATTACAATTTTTCTTGGAAACGGCGTTGCTTGTAAAAATGAAAATTGTTCGTTGAAAAAGAGTTCGATACATAATTATATTAAAATATGTATAGCTTTGTTTAACAGATAATTTCACATTGAAAGAATCATGATCGTAAAGAAGAATAATAATTATCCAAATCTTTTTCCAATTTTACCCTTTCAATTAGATACTTTCTTCTGCAATCATTTTAATTACAATCCCATGCACAACATTCTGATTAATTTTATCTAATATCTATTTCTTCTTTTTTTCTTTTTGGTCGACAATTATAATCAAAGCTGTTATACGTCTCAAAATTAAAGATCAATACTATATATACGATTCTGATTTGTTTTTTAAATAACAAGGCAATATCATGTTTAATTTATCAATTTTCTACATTGATGATGTCAAAGAAGAGAACGATTCTTTGAAAAAGGATGAATCTAGTTAAAGTGATCTGCAGGTGATTTTACTTACACATTAAATTTGACCATAGCCTTAATAATTAACGCTTAACTTCTATAACTCTCAATATAACGTTTAATATCATTGACAAAGATTTCCTTCGATCAATAGATCGTGTTACATTAATTATTATCATCTTGGAAGACATCACTGGAAGACTCGTTTCATATATATTATAGTATCTCATTTAACCCTTTAATTGTAGCGTGCTCCACCTGCAAGATATTAGACTGTGATCATTATTGAACGAGAGCAAATAATGTGCGTCATGAATCTAAAAATTTAAACGCACAAAATATTCTCTTTTAAGAATACAATGCAAATTAAATACATATAAGGAAAGTTCAATTGGTAACAAAATACACAAGGAATAAAGTAGTAAATGTATTATAAGAAACAAATTATGTTTAGTATATATCGATGGATCCATGAGAGTGTATATATACGCCTTTAGCAATCAAAGGGTTAAATGACATATATCTCTAACTGCGAGATGTTATACTCGCTTATACTTTGTTTT